AATCCAAAATCGAAGTAATTTAGTTTATTTTAGGAAGCCAGCTGCTTTGGAGCCTGCTAGTCAGGGCTGACCCACGGTCTGAATGTGTGTTCCGATACCACATCAGACAGGTTAAAGACTCCAATACAATTTCTTCTCCACATGGCAAGGAATCGAATTTACGTCTTCGAAGTGCACAGCAAACATCCCACCCATAACACCATAGGCGTCGATGCCCCAACCTCGAGTGTTAAATAAAAATACATGTATAGACAGGAGTGTTATATAATAACACCGACAATCACCTGTGTCAACGACCCCTTGCGTTTTTTAAATACCATCATGACAATGTCCAAGATATTCATACGATGTCTTAAAGACCTCAATTTTTCTCGTCGACTCTGCGAGGCTGTATTAGACAATTCTGACTACGTACACATCTAATAAAAACAGTGAGCTAGTGGCTATGGAGACAAATAATAGGCGAAGCCGTTTGGAGGATCGGTTCGGTTCGGTTTTTGGCGGCTTCAATGCACACCACAAACAGACACCGGCCTCAGTTGTATCAAATGACCCGGAAGTTAACAAAATCTGCCGTTTACGGGAAAACCACACCTTTGTATCATGACGTCTTCCAGGGCTGCTTGCCGCATATAACGGTTACGACGTTTCGGTGGTTTCGAATCTCATAAACACGGGGGCGATCTGTAGGTCTACAGAAGAGACTACATACATAAAGTACACCAGACAACATAATGAAGTACATCATACAAACAAGTACTCGGCACAGACATTAAGTATACCAAAAAACATGTACTCACCACAGACATTAAGAACACCACAAAACATGTACTCGCCACAGACATAAAGTGCACCTGACATGTACTCGCCACAGACATAAAGTGCACCTGACATGTACTCGCCACAGACATAAAGTACACCAGACAACATGTACCCAGCACAGACATAAAGTACACCAGACAGACAAGTAATCACCCCAGACATAGAGTACACCAGACAACATGTACCCAGCACAGACATATTATATAAAGTGCATCAGACAGATATGTACTCACCACAGTCCCAATTCTATCCAAACTATCCAAAAAGTACTTGAGAGAATCGCCCTGAGGAAAGAAAAGGGAGAAAACAGTTACAAAATGGTCACACTCTATCAGTCAATGGCGTGTAATTGCTCAATGTCATGTTGACGCTGTGCCGTATCACTGTGCTATGTCACTGTTTAGTTTTAGTAAGGTTTTATGGCGCTCGCAACTGCATAAGGTCACATGAGCGCCAAGGGGCAGATGTCAACAGAGAAGTCCAAATGGGGAATCGGGCTTACTCTGTTCAGCTCTTTCCTCAACAGCACAACGTTTGCTTCGACTATCGAAGCACCCCGGAAATACCAGCTGACAAGAGAGTGACAAATAAACAAAAGAAGAACAATGTAGAGGAAAAGTGACTGTGACGATAGCAAGGATGAGGAAAGAAAAAGCAGCAGTTCCCCATGTTGTTCCGGCACAGTATGAGCATGACATTGATAAATCAGCCCATTTAAAATTCTACTGTGAATATGAACGTGTCAATACCCCCCTTCGGGAATGGCCTAAAGACCACCAAAGATGAAGACAACAACACATACACATAGCACATCTAACTAACGGTTTGTTTATTTGTTCTGTTTGAGCAAAGAGAAGCACAGGGACACAATAATTTAGTCTTGGAGAAAGAAGAACAGACAGACACAAACAACAGAAGGAATGTAAGTTTTAGTAAGTGCCGAATATTAGAGGTGTTACAAGAGAGTAACAAACACAAAAAAGCCAAGGTGGAGAGATAGGGACGATAGATGTTTGATAGGAAAGCAGAAGCAAACCACACCAGGCCACCAGCCAACCACCCACCCACCGAAGGGAAGGCAAAGAAGTAGTAGGACCCACCAGTGGCGCCCTTCAACGACCCACATTCTATTTCTGCCAACACAAATGTAGACAACAGCACATATTATATGGTTGTTAACCGAACAGGCCCTGAAATACTCCAGGACACAACAAAACAAGGAAAAAACAATGCGTTCTATTTTTCTAAACCTGTGCTTGTCAACCTTTTCTTTGCCAGTGCCCACTTTGGGAAAATATAAGAGCCGCGCAATTTCGAGAAAAACTATCAAAGCCGCGTACTATCAGCAAAGACATTACATAACAAGATGGGCCACTCAGCCAAAAAAGTGTTCGCCGGAAGTCCGC